TCCGTGCTGAAGCAAAAATGTGTGTCGGAATGGGGTTCTGTGCACATTTTCAAGTTAGCACGTCTCTTAGCATCTTCCGTGCTGAAGCAAAAATGTGTGTCGGAATGGGGTTCTGTGCACATTTTCAAGTTAACACGTCTCTTAGCAACTTCCGTGCTGAAGCAAAAATGTGTGTCGGAATGGGGTTCTGTGCACATTTTCAAGTTAGCACGTCTCTTAGCATCTTCCGTGCTGAAGCAAAAATGTGTGTCGGAATGGGGTTCTGTGCACATTTTCAAGTTAACACGTCTCTTAGCATCTTCCGTTCTGAAGCAAACATGTGTGTCGGAATGGGGTTCTGTGCACATTTTCAAGTTAGCACGTCTCTTAGCATCTTCCGTGCTGAAGCAAAAATGTGTGTCGAAATGGGGTTCTGTGCACATTTTGAAATTGGCACGTCTCTTAGCATCTTCCGTGCTGAAGCAAAAATGTGTGTCGGAATGGGGTTCTGTGCACATTTTCAAGTTAGCACGTCTCTTAGCATCTTCCGTGCTAAAGCAAAAATGTGTGTCGGAAGGGGTTCTGTGCACATTTTCAAGTTAGCACGTCTCTTAGCATCTTCCGTGCTGAAGCAAAAATGTGTGTCGGAATGGGGTTCTGTGCACATTTTCAAGTTAGCACGTCTCTTAGCATCTTCCGTGCTGAAGCAAAATGGTGGTCCGGAAAGTGTTTTGTGCACATTTTCAAGTTGGCCCGTCTCTTAGCATCTTCCGTGCTGAAGCAAAAATGTGTGTCGGAATGGGGTTCTGTGCACATTTTCAAGTTAGCACGTCTCTTAGCATCTTCCGTGCTGAAGCAAAAATGGTTGTCGGAATGGGGTTCTGTGCACATTTTCAAGTTAGCACGTCTCTTAGCATCTTCCGTCTTAAGCAAAAATGTGTGTCGGAATGGGGTTCTGTGCACATTTTCAAGTTAGCACGTCTCTTAGCATCTTCCGTGCTGAAGCAAAAATGTGTGTCGGAATGGGGTTCTGTGCACATTTTCAAGTTAGCACGTCTCTTAGCATCTTCCGTGCTGAAGCAAAAATTCATAGGCTTCTAAACCCCCCCCCCCAACCTACCCCTCAGTAGCTCTCGAGACCAGTTCCTTGATTAGGTCTAGGTGTTGCTTTGAAGTTTGGGTTGCAAGGCTTTGAGTCAGGGTTCAGGGATTCAAGTGTCAAACATGCTCGGTCTACGGCTCGGATTGTTAAGCGTCAAGGTCCTTCAGGGATTCGGAAAAGGGGCTGAGTTGGTTGCTGGCTTTGCTCCAAGGTGTATCCGCAATGCGATAGGGCCGACTGGTCCTTCCTTTTGCTTGAGAGCTGCGAGCTCGTGTTTTCTCGAGTGAAACTCAAACGCAACCCGCCGATCTATCAGGCGACTTGCCCCGTTCGGGTTTCCCAGGCTGTAATGGCTGCATCGATGGTTTCGTCTGTGGGCCTCAGCCACCAGAACATGTCGTTCTCAAATCAATGGATGTCGCCAACCCCAAATCCCCGCAACTGTGCTCCGGACGGTACGTACTGAGCATCACCATCTTTCTTGATGTGTGTGTTGTAGGTGGCTGCAACCCATTTGAAAACCTGTGCAGCTGCAACCATCTTCGCCGGCCGGGCGGAACCTGAAGGCCACGAGCACGTCCGAGTTTTCTGAGACCCATCGGGGATCCCTCCTCAGCAGCAAAATCAACTGGAAGAGAAAGCACATGAGCACTGCAAAGGAACATGCAGCAGCACAGCTACATCACAGCCTAGAATCTGCGGAAATCTACCCAAACTTTGCGGTTCTGGGGCTCCCAATGGAAATAGAGAGCCTGCACGTCTGGCAGCAAAGCCAGAAATTCCTGTGGCGCTTTGGTCTTTTGCGTTGCTGGATTGCGTTGTGGTCCAGTGTGCACTCCAGCCTCACGCGGGGCTGGTCCTCTTGCTTCGGGCGGTGGTTCTTCGCGATCTTTTGCAATCCGTTGTCGAACTCTCTTTTTCTCCTCGGATGCCTCCAACTGCTCCATGGCATGCTTGCGCATGTCTTCAAAGTGCTGGGCCTCAGACGTGTCCAGGGCTGCCGTCATGTGGATGAGCATCTCCAGTTCGTCTTGATCCGCTTCATTGTCTGGGGCAGGTGCACTTCCGGGGTTCACAGCTTGCTTCTTCAAGAGTCTGTCAATGAAATCGTCGGATTCGTCAGGAAAGCAGGCTTTCAACAACGCACGCAGCATTGGTCCCTTGTTGGCACTTGCTTCCACGGGAACCTCACGTGCAACACAAATGGCCTTGACCTGCTGTTTGTCGAGAAACGCTCCCTTCAGAAGCGCCGCTTTCAAAGCATCACCGGGCTGCCCAGCAATGCGGCACGCCAACGGTCCTTTGGGTGCCAGCAATGGACGGCATGCCGGCGGAACAATCTCGACTGGCACATGTAGGAAAGGTCCATCTGCTTCCACGGAATGGTTGCTCAACCAGCGCGGCGCTGATCTCTGCATCTCTCCCTCAGCCACTGTCAGATACTCCTGGCTATCGTCAGGGGCGGTTCAACTTCTGGACAGGTTTGGATACATGCAGGAATTCGGTTTTCAAAACGAGGCAAATGTCCTCGCTTCCACGAATCACCTTGTCAAGCCGCAAGGCCTGTGCTGCCCATTTCATGAAGCCAAAGCTCAGGTAGAAAACCCCAGACGGCTTGTGCAGGAAGAAGCTCTTTCGTGTCAGCAAGCATCCTGGCACCAGTCTGCAGACACCTTTAGATAAGCTAGCAGCTGCACGAGGAAAAAACAACATGAAATCAGCAATTGTCCTGCCCAAGCTGCATCCACACGATCGAAATCGTTGGGGGCCGCGATCAAAGTATATGCAGATGCAGCTGCTGCAACCCGGTTTGCATGAAAGCCCGCTGGCCTGATCTTGCCAATGCGCTGCCTGCTTGGGATTTCATCGGAAAGTGGGGTTTTGGCCGGCGCCCATATGTTCAGACTGTTGATTTCTGAATCGTCAAAACCCGCCCGATGCAGAAGCGCGAAATCAGACTTGCTGGGTCGAAAGTGGGGTATGCCGCCTCTGTGCCGGCCATACGGCGACGCAGCAACGTAGCAGTACTGCGTGAACTGGGCCAAAACGGAATTCTTGCACTGGCGCATGGTGTCCCTGAGATATGCGAAAGTTGATTCAAGAATGTCTTTGGTGCTGATGGGTCCACCAAAAAGCGTACTGCACAAAGCCTGTAGCTCTGCATTGGCTAAATTCCAGTCACAGCTGCGCCCTTGGATGAATATCTCCCTTGTCACCTGCCACGTCGATGTCCCCAAGTCCTGCAGGAGTTCAGCGCAAGGACCGCCGGGGGCGGCGACCACTGCATCCTCGAGCTTCAACCAGGCGTTCGCCAAGTCCCGAAGAAGCCGTGTTGCCCGGGCCCTCTCTCGTGCATCGTCCACAGCAGCGGCTGCAAAGACGTAAGGGAACAGCAACCCATGGTGCGCTTGCGACCACATGCGGTTTGCGGCCAGCTCCACAACCAGATCGAACAACCGGTTGATTACTCGCACGTCTTCGGACACAGCTGGATCCGTCAATTCCAGCACACGCCTTGCCACTGGGCCTGGTGTCAACTCCAGCCTAGCGATCAGGCTTGTGCTTTGGAGCAAGCCCACGGTCTTCATCACGGTGCCGAACCAAGACCCCAACGAGCGCTGTGCGCTTGATTGCAACAACTCTGTGTGGCCAGACTGATGCACATCCAAATACCTTTGGTATTCTTCGTGCAGGGGTCCGGTCACATCCACAATGATTCGCATGTCGTGCTGCAGGGTGCGATCTTGCAACAGGACTGATGCAAACTCAGCCGTGTTCTTGTACTTTGCCCGCAGCAAATCGAACATTTTCTTGGCACTCAACGTCTCTGCCTCCTCAACCTTCGCGTCAGGGTTTGCAGGACCATCTGCTTTGTCTTCAGGGTTCCGTGGGCCGGCAGGCTCCGCTCCAGGAGCACGGTCCGCCGCAGCCTTCTTGCCTACACGCCTCCTCTTGGGAGGCAGCGGCAAGGCATCCTCCTCGTCACAAGTATAGATCAAATGACCCGAACACACAAACAAATCAAGTTACCACGCACGACAAAAGGATGCATCGCACTTCCTCAGGCTCTGCAGCACCCAAGCCGGCCAGAAGCTTCTGTGCGTGAGAAGCGCTCTCTGCCAAATAGGTCCAGCTGCTGTCCAGCGTGCGGAAACACTCCCGCACGCCGAACCAAGATTTGTTCTTGGCCTGCCGTGCACTGCGGTGTTGTTGCTGTCAAACAGACAGTCGGACAAACACACACACACACACACGCACACAAATGCAAACAATGTTGGGGAAGCAAAGCTGGCCGTACAGTCACACACACAACTCTGAAAAAGAAGTTCTGGTTGCTCTCGATGTTGCTTCTCTTCTTGCTAGTTTCTTCAGTGTTATTCAGTTGTTGTTTCTTGTTGTGGTTGTGGTTGTGGTTTCTGCGTTGCTTGCTGGGGCTAGTGCCGTTGCTGTGGCCGTGGAGGTCGCTGCCGCTGGAGCTGCTGCTGCTGGCTGCTGGAGCTTTTGTTGATATTATATGTCTTTACCCCCCTGCCTCCTTCAGTCTTGTCCGAATTCCTCTGGCCTGCATCCATGCCTCCGGGCTGACGGACGTAGGGCATCGTCCAACGCAGCCGCCATCGCGCCACACTGCTTCCGCCAGCGACTCCAGGTAGCCATCGCTGACCTTCGAAAGAAGATCCGCAGTCGCCTTTTCGATGTTGAACTGATTTTTCCCTGAATGGTAAGGGCCTCGTCCGCTGTTCACCAACAAAGTCAGCTTGAGAGTCGACAGTTTCAAACTCGATTGATTGACTGCTCGCAAATAGTCGTTCCACATGGGATGGCAGCATTCGCTTAAGGGGAACCCCCTCAAGCCCAAAGCACACAGAAGGTTCATACTTCTGATTTGCACAGCCTCCTCGTCACTCACCTAGGCCAGTGAGAGCGGAACAAGACTACCAATTCAAACCTGTCTACCCATCGCAGTCTAGATGCAGACACAAGGAATCTGCGTTCGGCAACGGGGGGCAAGTTGATGCCGTCAACGCTCGCCGCACCTTTTGCTTGAAGACGCTGCTCATCGGGCACCAAGAAATCAGAAAGGTACTGTCCGGTCATGATGTAGAGCGTATGGTTGAGTGCTCGCACCATTGCCTCCGGCAAGGTTGTGTTGTTCATGTCGCAATTCCAAAGGAACAAGTTAAACATTCAACTGCACATGCACGCATACTGTTGTTGTTGTGGCTGTTGCTGTGGCTGTGGCTGTGGCTGTGCTAGTGCTGCTGGTGCTGCCTGCTGCTGCTGCTGTTGCTGCTGCTGCTGTTGTGGCTGCTGTCGCTTGCTACGTCCTTTGACCTTTGGTTGGCTGCTATTGTTTGGGTCGTACCGCTGCTGGCTGTGATACTGCTAGCTGGCACCACCACTCCCCGCAGCAGCAGCAGCAGCAGCAGCAGCAGCAGCAAGTGGATGATTTTATGAGCAGTACTGTAGCAGCACCAGCACCTAACGACGGCAACGCGGCAAAGACCACATCAGCAGCCGCAGCAAGAAACGACAACAAGTATTGGCTAACACTGCGACCAGGACAGTCCCAACAACGACAACAAGAACATCTGCAGCAGCAACAACATGCTGCAGCGGCAAAAACAACAACAACAACAACAACCGCGACAGAAGCAGCAACAGGAGCAGCAACAGCAAGACGACGTTTAAAATATTCAGCAGAGAACAACACTGCTAGGACGACCACCAGCATGGAAACAACATCAGAGCGACAACGAGGAGTGTGGACACGACCGCCAAAGCAGACTGTTCCGCATCGTCAACGCGGGAAACAGCATGAATAGTAATATCAGCAGACGAGCCACCAATGGAAGGACCATCTCCCGCGAATCTTGATCACCACTAACCTGAAAAGCCCTGACTTGCATCCGTGGCACGTGCACGCCACTGGAGAGCTTCGCTGGAAATTCCCTGGCTGGCAAAAGTCTGGAGGTGAAGTACCCCAAATCAAATCATTGACGCATGGAACTCACGGAACCCTGCTGGCACAAGGGGTCCTCACGATCATCTCCAGGAAGGCTTCCGAACGAAACGCGAAAGGGTCCATGGCCTCGGCAGTTGACGGTGTACTGCTGTATTCACATGTCACTGTAGTTCACAGGCGCAAACGAGCACGCTGACGCAAGTTTGCAACAATTTTCTGCCGCATCTCTCTGCTGTGCATTGTATCGGTTCGTCCGCTGGCTATGCGATCTCATTGGCCACCACAGCCACATCTCACCTGGGACTTAGGTTGCAGGAGCTTTGGCTTTTAGAGCAAAGCAAAACAACAACTCAGGCAACGACTTTGTCTTGGTATTGGCTTTTGTTTTGTTCCTGGGCCTCCTCTTGGTAGCCGGCTTCGCCTTTGCTGCGACAGGGGTGAAGCTGGAGTCAGACGACGGGTCAGAGCTGCTGTCGTCGCTTGCGGGCTCGGCCGGCGGCTCATTCACTGGTCTCGGTGGTGGTGGGCCCTTGGGCGACGACGATCTGACGAGCAGGGTAAGCCGCTCGGCCTCCTCCTCCTCACCGGACGCCCTGCTGTAGTCTATGGCCATAAACTTCCTCTTGTGTTCATCTTTGATCGCCTCTACCGTCACCTTGAAACCAATGAAGTCATCAGCGCGGGTGTGCTCGCCCTCGGCATCAGCCTTCACCTCAACCATGATAGCTTTGCGGGTCTCCAAGGCCTCAGTAACCATTTCCCCGATTTTCACCTCCAAGTCAGACGGCTCCTCTGGGCATGGAAAGTCCGGGGTAGCTGGCGCAAGACCGGCTAGAGCAGTGTTGACCTGAAGCACACCAGGAACAACTCCGCACAAAGCTGGTTACTGCAGTGACCAAACTATAGAGGGCCCCACCTGGTCCGCCATTGGGTCCGCCATGCAGTCGAGACGCGGCACTAGGGTGCAACCGGTACGGACATGTGCAAGCAGTCTGAGCAGAAGTCCTATGGGATAGTGCAAGTTGCCAGCTCAAGTGTGCAAGTGCACCACACTTGCATTCCCGAGTCACTGTCACCGCAGGACACAAACTGAATTTCTCGCAAAGCTCGCAACAAAAGCTACCTCGCTCATGTTTCTAGAAGCTGAACCTTCCTAGATAGGATAAACCGGTGCCTGACAAAAAACAGCTCTTCTGATTCTTCTGAAGAAAAGCAGCGTCACAGGACTTACCCGATGCACATACACAACGGCAGTGGCCAACAAATCTCGCAAGACTTTGTGTCCACCAGCATTCTCGTAGATGAACGGAAATTTCTCTGGGGATGAGCTATTAGGCTATGAGGCCATCAATGCTGTCCCTGCCGTAGTGCAGCTGCACGAAAGAACTACACGCCCTTGCCGTGCTTCGGGAGAGCTGCCTTTGCAGGCGGATCTTTCGGCGACGGGGTCTTAGCCTTTGCCGGTGTGGGCGGAGGAGGTCCGACAGGTGACGGTCCCGGAATCACAGGTGGGCTCTTGCTCGCCGGCTCACCTTTCGCGACTGGCGGATCCTTCGCGGCTGGCGGACCGTCCGCGGCTGGCGGATCCTTCGCAGCTGGCGGATCCTTCGCAGCTGGCGGATCCTTCGCAGCTGGCGGATCCTTCGCAGCTGGCGGATCCTTCGCAGTCGGCGGATCCTTTGCGGCTGCCGGATCCTTCGCAGCCGGCGAACCCGGTGCCTTCGTAGCTTCGCCAGTCTTTGGTGGGGTCGTCGGGGCAGGCTCGTGGCTCGACCGGGCTGTGGGATTGCCCTCCAGCTCTGCGGATGTCATCCTTAGTTTCCGCACACCCACACTCCACCCCACACGGACGCTCGGGAACAAACTCCCCCTTGCCCACCGCACTCAAAACCGTGCCCAAACCCAGCCAAAACCAGCAAAACCCATCGCAACCCTAGGTAAACACAACGAAAACCACCAAAACCCTAGCAAAACGCAGCAAAACCAGCAATTCTCAGCAATTCTCAGCAAGCCTCAGTAAGCCTCAGTAAGCCTCAGTAGGCCTTGGCAGGCCTTGGCAGGCCTTGCTGGGGCTCTGTGTAGGCCTCCAAATTCCAGCCCGTGTGCCCTCCAATCGTGCATGGTGCCCACCCCAACCCTGCAGCCCAGCCCCAACCCACCCCCAACCGCCCCGTGAAATGTAGGGCAAATTTTGCACTACATTTGAATTGGGGTTTCTGTTCCCCCCAAACCCCCCTACCAGGATGGACAACTTCCTCAGAACTCCAACTGATCAATCCAGTCAAGCTGCGTGCGGGAGCGCTTGGATGACATGAGCTTCGCCACCCACTTCGGCTTCACCTTGGGGTCCTGATTCTCATCATCCACCAGCCACTCAGCCGTGTTAGGGTCCTGGACAAGCTTCCAGCGGTTCGCTGTCGGAAGCTCAACGGCTCTCTGGCGATAGAAGATGGACTGGGTGCCATCCGAGTAGGAAACGATGACTGGCCGATCTGCCTCCTCTGTCTCAGAGAAGTCGTCCTTTCGGGAACTCTCGCAAAACACAAAACCAAACACCTGCACCAAAGTCCTCGTCGTCATCTGCCGGGAGACGCGGCACCAATGCGGTGGTACCTGCATTCACTTAAACAGTTTATGTGGACAAAGCTTAGTGGAGGAACGGCCCCAACGTGCACATCATCCCCGCTCCCAGCCTCCATTGCCAGGTCCTCCGGGCCCTCCAGGGCCACCAGGGGCTCCGGAAGCGCACATGCCAGGAAGCAACGCAGATGCAGCTGCCACTCCCGGTGCAGTTGATGCGACTTCCACAGCTTGAGCAACCAGGTGCTCACCGCAATGCACCATGTCACTGTCCGAGCTCCCATCCCAGAAGTAGCCCACACCGTCCACGTACACAACGACATAGTAGCCTGTAGCAGTCGCTTGCAAAGTGCAAGAGCTGATCTCTTCTCCTGTCATCGTGTTGATTGAGGTCAGTGACCACTGACCCTCGTCGTCAGCATTGACAGTGTAGACGGTGGCAATCACGGGTTCGGTCTCTGGCTCTGCTTCGGCAGGAGTCGGTGGTTCATAGCCGATTGCCAGTGGTCCTGGTGGCCCTGCTGGTGGTCCCGTTGGTCCTGTCGCGTTTAGCGTGTGGATCTAGGGGTTTGAGTTTTAAAGTATAAGGCTAGTCGGCTAGTATAAGGTTCAAAATCGGCTGGGGCTAAGGCTGGAAATCCCATTGCACAATCCTGCACTGGGACCGCCCAACTCGGAAGTTGCCGGCAGTCCGGGGTGTCGCGGGGTGGCTCCACTCGACAGCTGATTGAAGTATTGGATGACGAGTCGAACTGCTTCGTCAGCTCCCAGCACGTGTGTGGACATTGGTCTGCCCAGGCGGTTCCACTCATCCCGCAGGTTGCGGATGAGTTCGTCTTTATCGTGACTGAGGGGCAAGACTTGAACTCATGAGAGCCTACGTCTTCAGGGTTCAGGGCTGCTAGGGGTTTTGCAGTCTGGCTGTCGGCTTCTGTGTGTGCATTTGAAGTTTGTGTACACAGCAACATCACGCCTGGGAAGTCTGTCTGTGGGGCAAAGCCCGCACAGTACGAACAAGTAAGCTAAGAGACTGTCACGTGACAATCTCCCGCAAAAGATCAACGTCAGCGAAGGGCATAGGGCATTGATCCAGTCCGCGATGTACTGGCTCTCGGCAACCGCTACAATCAGATCAGCACTGCTCGCTCCGAAACAAAATGTGTTGCCCTCATCATAATCATATGCAAGGCACTGGCACGTGCGACACAGTGGTGTAGCTCGACGAGTACTTCGTTAGGTCATGTCTGCGGCCACCGCCTCCGCTATAAGGCCTGCCACCTGAGGTCTGCTTGGCTTTTGCCACACCACGCGTAGTCACCGGGTCTGATCCCGAAACGAATCCACCAGGCCACCTCAGCAATCACGGGGATTTCGGATCTTAGGCAATCTTACATGCGTGTGTCGGGTGGCTTCAGCTGAGATGCGTGATGGTGGGAGTGGGCATCAAAGACATTGCAGCTGCGGACATTGGGGCAGGAGCCGGAGGCACAAACGGAACCATCGCACCAGGAGCTGTGGCGGGTGCTGGAGCTCCCAATGCGGCCTTGGGCCGCGCTGCTGCCGGTCTTGGGCCAGGTGGCACCAGGGCAACCTTGGCAGCTGCCTTGGGAGGTGCCTTCGTCGTGGCTTTCGGCGGCCGCGATGTTGGACGCATGACGGCTTCACTGTCGATTCCTTGGTTCTGTGATTGAGCCTGAGCTGCTGATGAGATGTGACAGCCTGCAAATGCACCGCAATTGCGCAGCAAACGCAGAGAACCCTGGCAAGGACTGATGGTCGGGTTTTCTGCCCACATTGAAGTTCTGAAGGCAAAGTAACTTGGGGTGGGTCATCGTATTTCACACGACCCACTCCGACCCACAGTCTTTTCAAAGAAGAGCATGTTCCCGACGCCCAAAGCAACTCAGGCCAATGAGCAAAATCACAGCAACCTGAGTCAGGTGCATAGCATTGCCTACCAACGAAGCAGACCTCTCCGCGTCCATGACTGGGAGCGGCTTCGTGCCCATTGCCTCAGCAGCCTCTGCGGTTACAGGCCAACCCATGGATGCCAACTTATCACACGGGGTCATGATACGCAAGCTGGCTCTGTGTAGATAAAATCCAGAGTTGCGGCGGTATGTCGGGTTTCGTCTGGAGGTCGCCGACCATGTCCTGGTGTGCTCGTACCGGTCCCCAAGGAAGTAGACAAGGTCATCGTCCGTGCCGGGGTGCTTCTGGAACATGTGCACGTAATCTAGATCGAGCTGATGCACCAGGAACTTTTCACGCTCGTTCAACAACCAGTAGTCGTCGGAATGGCCCTGCAAGTCAGGACCACATGACATCATCTCGAACCGACGCAGAGACAGCCCAAACTCGCATCTCTAATTGCGTCTCAGTTGCTGCCACGAATTCCATCTTGCGTGCTCTGCAAAGCCGCTGCTGCCAGAGAGTGCGCAAATGTTCGGGCGCCACCATATAATCCCCAGGCTTTGTCTGCACAAACTGTCGGATCCTCTCTGAAATAAAGTGGTGCATCTCATGCACATCCATGAGATAGGTGCACGTCTGCTTGTGCGCGCAGAAGACATATGTGCGTGCACGTGCCATGCCCCTGTGGCCAGCATCCGCCGGGTCCACAAACAGTTGATGCAGATGGTAATCTGTTGAAAGGAGGTGACCGATCATATCCATTGGCATATCCTTGGCAGGGAACACTTCAAAGACTCCGGCTGGAAAGACGCCGCAAGGGCAGCAGGGACAACAGCAGCAACGCCAACAGCAACAGCAACAGCAACAGCAACAGCACCAGCAACAGCAGCAGCAGCAACAACAACAGCAGCAGCACAAGCAGCACAAGCAGCAGCAGCAGCAGCAGCAGCAGCAGCAGCAGCAGCAGCAACAGCAGCAGCAGCAGCAGCAGCAGCAGCAGCAGCAGCAGCAGCAGCACCTTCAATAACGGCATCAGCAGCAGTAACAGCAACAAATACCCGCACCAAAACCAACACCAGCACTAACAACACCAGCAGCAGCAACAGCAACAACAACCGTTGAATCGCCCAAACCCGGCTTGAAGACTCCTTCACTTAGATAGGTTTCTACCAAGAAACCAGTTTGCTTTCCCTTCCTGAGGCCTCCCGCCTACCCACCTCCTCGGTCCTTGGGACGGGCACGTATCCGGCTCAATAGCAGTGGCAACAGCAGCGACAACGACAACGACAACAACAACAACAACAACCGCCACAATAGCCCAACCACTACTACGTCAAAATCGGCGGCAGCAGCGGCAGCGGCAGCAGCACCATCATCAGCCGCAAGAACAGCAACAAGAGCAGCAAACAGAAAGCCAACGATGCACAAAACTTTCGCTGAGCTTCCGGTGTGTTCTCCAGAATCAACAATGGTGTGCGCAGATGGCGGTGTTTCTTCGCCCATACCATGTAAACGGGGACGAACTTGCCGTCCTGCAGCTTGCGCTTGATATTCGCGCGGCTGTTGTCCTGGCATGGAAGGCCAGACACATCCACATCTACGGCCCGCAGGTTGGAGCAACATCGGCCGTGCTGAAAGCAGAACTGCACTTGCTGCAAGTGCGAACGGTTCACATCGTCCAGCTTCTCGAAAAATGTGCCGACTTCACGAACGCTGCCCCTAGGCAGCTGCTCCAAGACATCTCCGAAAACACACGGTGCTCCATGTGGCTGAGACAGCCAAGATCTAACCCACATGTTGTGGTCATTCAGAATCTGCCGGCATTTTGCATCAATCTCCTGAGATGTGACAACAGAAACCGTATCACACAGGCTTCGACCAAATTGCCAACAAACAGCTGTGGATGCAAAGCAAGACACGTGGCATGAAATTGCTTGGATGCCACCCATGTTGGCTCCCGGGCAGCAGTGGGCCACAGTCTCCTGTATGACTGCAGCGGCCGCTTCTGCCGTACCCGCCCCGGAGCACGATGAAGACAGCCGGGTCAGATTTTGTCCAATGAAGCTAGCCTAACTTCAGCACGGCACTGCTGCTGCTGTTTCTGATTCTGGGAACAAGAGCAACAACATCGTTTGAGGTGACATCTCCTTGCTGCTCCGGAGCACTCCGCAAGACTCGCCCAAGCACCCGAGATCTCACAACGGCCCAGGCTATACGCACAGCCCTGGCTGCCAGGGTTAAGCGCGTTTCTGTGCCCGTCACCTTGGCTTCAGGCTTAGCAAATTTCATGATTTCGGAAACACCGGGAACAACAGAACTACAACAACTGCCTTGCGACCGGCATACCTCCAAAGGTGGGTCTGAAATCAAAGTCGAGGTCGTTGACCGTGTCGGCACGGGCTGATCACCGTCGTCAAAGCCCCAATCACCACTCTGCGTGTGGCGATCAGGAACCGAAGAAGCCATGCGTGTGGTGCGTGCGCAACAGAGCACATGCACCCTGCCCCACTACACTATGACCGTCCCAACGGATGAATAGAATCTACATGGGCAATGACTCATGCTTTTACTCTTTGGTTCTACTACTGTCTTCTGCGAGACTACTTCTGAAAGCCGTGTGCGCATGTGTGAACACAAAGCTTGTAGCCACACATTGCAAAGGTGTGATAGAGACAACATCAGCCGCTGATCATGTCAGTGACGGTCGCAAGCAGTGGTGCATTTCAGTACAACTGCAAGACCCCTCACTTTGCGGAATGTCTGGGCTGCGGACGACAGGTGGGGCGTACGCCCCTGCCAGCATGTTGTTGCTGTACCAGAAGAAAATCTCCACAGGCTTCATGGCATTGTCGGATCCGTCGAAAAGGACCTCGTTTCATCACTCCGGCAAACACTCAATCGGTCATTGCGCTCAACCTGTTCTGCAATCAGCCCGTGTTCTCACTGCGGACAAGGAACCTTCAGGTGGCGTTCGCCAGCGAGCTCTGTTCGTGCCCGAACCAGGTAGACCATCTAAGTTGCATGCGTGACAAGAACATCGAATGGTTCATCCACCTTTTGACTTACCGGAGTTTAAACCTACATCTTGCAATCAAGGTGCGCTGATGCGGTAAGCGACTTTCGTGACGCTCAACGTGCTTCCGACAAGCGCGAGGGCTTTGGAAATCCAACGCTCCTGACAAGCACTGATCTAGCACACGGGGCCGAGGGTTTTCATGTCAGCATGACTGGCGCAGCTGTCCTCTTGCGAAAACAAAAGCTCGCTGACCCGTCCACAAACCTCCCAAACGACCGAAGCAGATGTTCTCTTGGTCGCTGTCCGTCGTCTGAAGCACCCCATCAGCGATTCACGAACATTCTTCCTCTTGGGTGCCGCTTGCCGCGGCCTCGGGCCAGACAACAGCTGGTACTCCATCGTCACTTCTCTCATATGACCATCTATGAATGCTGCCAACTGCGTCAACAGCGACAGTGCTGCCGATTGCAGTTTGGCCTTTGCAGCAAATATTTGGGTTCTACGCGAGTCACGTGCGGTGTCCATCGCCCACAGCACAAAGTCAGCGGGGTGAATGTTCGGAGGCACTGATGTCACATGAACCTTCTTGTCATCTGCCAAATCAAAGCTCCATTGAAAAGCAACTAGCTTTTCGAAGAAAGGTTGCGTCCAAGGCCGAAAATCGGTAGGACGCCGCAATTCCTGAGTGATCCATTGTCCCTGTTGCAAATCTGGCGAGAAATGCACATGCTGTATCCGGAAACAGCCTGTTTGACATGCCCTGTCAAACAGTGCACGCAAGCATTCATAAGCTAACCTCCTGGCTTCTGCAGGCCTGGATGAAGGAACGGACATGTGAAGCACGTATGCTACCATGACAGATGTGGTCACAAACTTGGTGGCAAACTCTCCACCGGCTTTCGGGGGAAGAACGACTGGCACGGGCTGTCCAGGCCAAAGTTGCCGGTGCCATTCACCCACTGCTTCCTGCTCCTTCATGCACTTGCCCACGAGCTTTTCAGACTTTAACGTGGTGAAAAAGTTGCGGCCCAGAGTATTCAGAGCCCATTCGCATTGTGAGTCGGGCCTCACCCGATTGCACACCGTAATGTCGCGTGCAACATCATCCCGGTTCACACGGAAAGTGCCTGAGGTCTCACAACAAATCATGAAAATTAAGAACGACCACTCTGCAAGCGGAAAACCACGCACATATTCAACGCCAGCGGTCTGAGCCTCTGGCGCAACTCCACAACAGCATTGTCATCCACAGGTTCCGCTACGGGATCCATGACAATGTCAGATGTTGCCGAACAAATATGCAGTGCATCAATATGTTATTACTGTTCAATCGTTTTGGTGCCGAATCCTTTTGTGCCTGCGGTTGATCTCTGTTTTCCAAGCATTTAACATGTATCTCAACGAAGCCTTTCATATGCTGAGAGCAAGCCGCCAAAAAAACATGTTGTTCACAAGCTCGCGAATCTACGAAAAGCATTGAGCACTACAAAGCCTTAGTAAGCCCTGCCAGTCGTTAGCAATGCTTACCAAGGACTACCAAGGCCTAGGAAGCAATAGAGTATCCGATCATACACCGAGCCCGCCAGAGGGCTGCTGAGGGGGGGGTTGGGGGGGGGGGGTTTAGGAAGCTATGAAAAATGTGTGTCGGAATGGGGTTCTGTGCACATTTTCAAGTTAGCACGTCTCTTAGCATCTTCCGTGCTGAAGCAAAAATGTGTGTCGGAATGGGGTTTTGTGCACATTTTCAAGTTATCACGTCTCTTAGCGTCTTCCGTGCTGAAGCAAAAATGTGTGTCGGAATGGGGTTCTGTGCACATTTTCAAGTTAGCACGTCTCTTAGCATCTTCCGTGCTGAAGCAAAAATGTGTGTCGGAATGGGGTTTTGTGCACATTTTCAAGTTAGCACGTTTCTTATCATCTTCCGTGCTGAAGCAAAAATGTGTGTCGGAATGGGGTTCTGTGCACATTTTCAAGTTAGCACGTCTCTTAGCATCTT